AGCCCCCTGGGGAGTCAGCCCCACCATTTGTACAATTTTTAATCACCACCACCTAGGGATGCTTCCAGTCAAATATGGTTGATATCCACTTCTTAGTTCCAGAGAAGAAGTCGCTTAAAGCAATATGAGCAAATTGACCCCTTTTGGCCCCGCCCCTCAGCCCCTTTGGGGGTCAGCCCCATTATTTGTACAATTTTGAATCCCCACCACCTAGGGATGCTTCCAGTCAAATTTAGTTTAACTATATTAACTCCAACCAGTGGTTCAGAAGAAGAAGTCGTTTAAAGAAATTGTTGACGTACAGACGGACGCCACAGTATGGCATAAGCTCACCTTGGTCCTTCGGACCAGGTGAGCTAAAATGACTATGGTTTATGCAAGCTTATTGTACCATTATGGTTATCCCTAAATTTTATAAATATGTTTAAGAAAAGATTACTATGTAGTCACGCATTTATGTTCTACGAAATTGTACTTTTATAGACAACATGCATATGGATTCTGGTCGTTGACACTCGTTGTTTTGCAGTTCTACAACATTGAATTTTGAAAAACATATATCGAAATCTTGCACATTATGTACAATTGTTATTGTTCACAATTTGTATAATTACAATACACTATATACAGTGTTCTCCCCAGGCTGTTTTTGCAGCATGGCACCATGCTCCTATAATTTCTTGCCATGCTGCTATCTTTGATCTTCTCTGCTATATATTCATAGTAAATCTAAAGTTACCATGCTGCTTGGATTTTACATAGAGTGCTGCTTTAACAGCAATATTTAAATACCATGCTTCTTTCAAAACATTCTGGGGAGAACACTGATATATATTCTCAATAGGCTCAATTTCGGGGTCAGTTTATTTATGTACAGATGTAATTGGATACATGAGTATTCTATACTTGATCATGAAAATGAATGACAATGGTGTGTCTAATTACAAACCAACATCATTTACAGGATGTATCATTTTCAACTGCAATGTACACTTTCAGATGAGCACATTGTCATATGATAAAATGTAAAAGCTTAGAATTTTTTTTTCAATTAAAGATGTACTCAAATTCAAATTGTAAATGATAGTTATACGCATTCAGAGATTTTTCAACATATAAAAAAGGAAAATCCTATTAACAAGGACTGCATCTATCTAGAAAATTGTATAGGAACAAAATAATATGAGAGGAAATACACTAGTGAGAAAAAAATCTGATACCATGAGGCTTGATGGGCAATTGCTAACTTTATATGTAAAAGGTTGAAATTCTTTAATAATTATTTTCTTTTTGAAATAATTAGTAAATTATTCTTTTACTGGACATTTAATTTTAAAAATATGGAAAAAGCACATATCATTGTTAAATGTTTCACCCCATTGTGAAAATAATCAGTTTAGGTTGAATGAAATTTATGATTAAATACATAATATGAAAAGTCATTTATTCAAATTAATTAACTTAACTACATGAAACATTTGGGGTAAACCTTTTGGAATTTGGAAAATCTAAAATATTAAAACTGATGATTTCAGTATTAGAGATCACAAGTGTGAATCGAAGATACTGTGAATCCATATCTTAGGTTTATTGATAGGGAAAATACATTAAATATCTACAAAGACACTTCTTTCCCCCCCTCAAAATATTCCAATTGTTAACAAACCCTATATATAGCAAAACAACATTCCTACAAACTTGGTACCTGATCTTGATCATGACATACTTAATGCATATATATGTAGGCCTACAGCTGGCTGAAAGAAATCAGTAGGTGGACATACCTTTAATATCTAGTTATTGCTATAAACATATCGTTTATAAATAACCTAGTAGTAGTGATTGGCAATTGGTTTAAAATCATAACCAATAATCTGTTTGTAATCGAAAGTAGTAAAATGATCAATGATCGATTGCATAATCGGTTCATAATTTTATGGGACTGAATACCCAAATAGTGTGACAACATTACCATAACATCAATAGACAGAGTTGTTAACTATACACCAGGCCAGGTTTCATTCTTTTATAATGAATGGATTTCAAGCAAGTTTTATGCAGTTTTATCAATTATACATGATATAATAAAAGTCACAAGAATATATGACTTTCAATACATTTTTATACATTGAAAACATTAACACTTTCAATGAATAACCGATTATATCGATAATGGAATTTGTAATCGATAATTGGAACCTGAAAGGTCAAACCAATCGCTTTTCGATTATAATCGATCATCAGCCCATCACTACCTAGTAGTTAGATAAACACTAGAACAGGCTTATGTAAACCACATTAAATGTGCCATGTATAAATTAAAATCAGTATCTGAAAAACATATAAATGCAATAACAGAACTGAAAAATTATCAAGCAGACTCTGCGGTTATTCAATAGACAACTATATTAATATTGAACATAACATATATATGTACATTGTAATACAGCACTTACTAATACTATTATGTTCCTTCTCGGACAATGAAAATGTATTCACAGGAAAGATGTTGGTTTGCACAATTTTATATTTATAATACAATGGAAAGTTTCAAACAGACTCTTGAGTACACAGTTATATTTCCTTTTATATCTAATACATTATCTTCAATTAGTAATGTGAACATAATTTTAAATTAACCAACAACACTTCCATTTTATTTAATATGGCTTTTATTGTTAAAGTTAATAAAATGTAATTTGTGATTTTTATGGTCTTTGCGGAAAAGTCTTCCTGTCACATGATACAAAAAAGTCTTTAATGCAAGGCTTTAACCAGGCGATTAGGGAGTCTGTCAGCTGTCAAAATGAAGTCTACCGTGACATTTCGAGGGGCGTGCTGTTTAATCAATAATAATTAACTATCAGCAATATATAATGTTATCCATTTGTTAAAAATAGAAGCTATAATATTGTATGTAGTAAACTGCGCATCTAAAGAGCTTGATATTTAGCTAACTTGCCACTTTCTCAGCTGTGCATCTCGACCGATTTCGACTTACCCCTTGCAACGCACTAACGAATATGCCTTTCCATTTCGCCACATTTTCTTCGAAGAGATTCTCTGATCCTGTTGCAGGAAACATTCCTACTGTTGCTTAATCAAGTACAAAATAAACATCATGAAACCATGATTGAAAAGATCGACTATTTTTCTGAAATGCTCCTGAAGCTACGGCAGGTGTCGGCGCTTGTGACCTTCACGTCAACAACATAGTTAGGCCTTTCCCCTGCTACCATCGACTTTCTACCCCGATATGTAACATCATGGTAGTGTCATGTATATTATTCACATCATTAAAATATCCCACCTCCGAAATTTAAGGGTAAATATTGTCTTTTGTTGGTACCAAAGCTTCCGCAAAACCACAACAGGAAGTTAAAAGTAAGATTCGTAATGCGCATGCTTACTACGCCTGTCGGAAAGTGGCAAAATTTTTCCCATGGGATTAAAATATTTGGAATTCCAATCATATTTTTGTATTGCTTTTAAATCAATTGATAAAAATAATCCTTATACATGTCATAAATGACTACTCAACTGTACAAGCAAATCAAACTCATAAAGTGTAACATCTAATGTCGTAAAGTCGTCGTCCCCATTTATGGTTTACCCGGGGGGATGACAAGAAAAGGAGTGACATGAATGGTTTGGAAGACCAGGACAAAGTTATAACTACCTGGCACCTTGCATTCAAGCGATGCACCGACTTCGATTTATGGGGACAGCCGGTTGAAGCTATTGATGGATATCAAAGGTCATGAATTTTCTCTCGTTGCTATCAGACTCACTATGTATGTCGATTAGCTTCCTGGTGACTCATGTAAACAAAGCAGAATTTCACAGTTGAGATAGCATCATACAAGTTTCAGAAGAGTCACCATGCGTTGAGTAGAAGTAACATTAAATCTTGTGGCTAGCTAGATCCTACTCTAATGTGCAGCAGGGGCATTTTTTTTGCAGAATGAGTTTACACAGGGGGGTTAAATTTTCAGTATGTTTCCACATTTTGGGTATGTTTAGTTTAATTTGTTAATGCATATACACAATATATCACTACCTAGCACTTTATATTAATTATGGTGGTTTTGATCTTAATTCTCTATGGCTACATTCGCGTATCCGGTTGAAACGGTTGAACCTGTAAAGAAAACGACAGGTACAGATTTGGACCGAGGCTGACCTCAGGAAAATTTGGTACGTGTAGATTGAGGGGTCTAGACGTACCTGACCAAAACTAAAATGCTGACTATTGCCAATTTGTGTTATTTCTTTCTTAAACAATGTCAAGTCACGTGTAATTTTTAAGATACGTTGTGTAATTTAGTGGACGTGTGAGAGAAGGGCATACTTTTCTGGATACATTGTTTTTTATTCTCCTGTGGATTTTTAGCTCTGCTTATAGAACAGTCCAAGTGTGTTCGTTTATCGTGGAAAATTTCTGCGCCACATGCACCGTTTCAACAGGGATACGCGAATGTAGCCTTGGGTTAAAAGCATTTTTTTTTTCATTTCAAGAATTTAACAAGTTTTCTTTTAACAAATTTAATTTACATTTGGAAAAGATGTGGATTAATAAGGTTGCCTTACAAGCGTCAGTTGTAGAGAATTTCCCATTAGCTCAGCGGTAGAGCATTGGGCTAGAGAGCCAAGGGTCGTGGGTTCGAGCCCCAGCAACGGCACTATCTGTATCACTATTCCTCGTCCTATTACAAATTGGTGCCGTTGACCCTCCCCACTTAAGGTAGGAGAACCCTTGGCGGGGAGTCAAAGAACCTGGGTTGGTGTTTGAAAAAAGGGGGGAATAGTGTAAAAGATGTGGATTAATTAGGTTGCCTTACAAGCATCAGTTGTAGGGAATTTCCCTTTAGCTCAGTGATAGAGCCTGGGGCTAGATATAGCCAAGGGTTGCGGGTTCGAGCCCCAGCGACGGCACTATCTTTATCACTATTTCTCGTCCTATTACACATTCACAGTATTCACGGTGCCTTCGATTTAAAAAAAATGTGACTTCAGCCAAACTCAATCATACTGGTCAACTTTCCTGAATTGTATGAATTTCTTTACTTTGATATGATCCATAATTTTGAAAGAAGTTGAACATGTGTAAAATGTATGAAAGTAATCTCGTTGCCTTGAGGCTAAATAAGCTAATAATTATTTTCCTGATTATAGATCTACATGTAAGTACATGCATATCTGTGTAGCACAATATGTTATAACCTCCCATCTTATCAACTTACAATCACTTTAAAAAACATACAATTTTTTTTTCATCTGTAATCTTTTTATTATTACCAGACAAAAATTGACAATCATACTTGTGTGAGAAATGTGTATATATGTCTTGTCAATATAAAATTTGTATTGTAGACTTTCCAAACAGCTACAGGAGTTCTCAGGAACAGACAGCCAACTATTCACAGATGAACAGAAGGTAAACTAAAAATGACCTTGTATGTAAAAAGATATAATATTAAGAATCACAGAAAGTTAAAATTGCATAATTCAAAATATCGTGCTATTAATTGTATAAAAAAAATCTTTAACTGGACACATCAGGATCCAGGAGAAATTAATGGGTAAAATTTACTTCACAGTTATAAATCTAAGTGTCAGTTTTGTTTTCACAAGCTTCTAAACTGTGACGTACATTTGAATGATAAAATCCATGATAATATTGACTGGTACCTTTTGTATTACAATTAATGTATCAAGTAATGTATAACAATGTATCAAGTAATGTATTTATCAAGTAATGTATTTATCAAGTAATGTATAACAATGTATCAAGTAATGTATTACAATGTATCAAGTAATGTACATACATGTGTTTGTGATTTGATTTTTTGTTCTTCTGCAGAAAGTTCTTGGGAAAATTTCAGTCTGTTTAAATTTGCGATGCAAGGTCTTACAGGTATGTTAAAATAAAAGTAGAATATGCAAATAAACTACACTAGTACACAAAGCAAGCAGTGACCTAAACTGTGGTTTATTATTGTTTGTCACCTCATGTGATCTTTCCCATTTCAGCATCAGAATTAGGACAATAGACATGGCATTATAGCATCATGATGTCACTCTATAAAGACAATAATCGTGAAATCAAGATTGTGAGATTAATGACTTAAAACTATTGTAGAATACTTGTTTTTAGCGAATATTTGCATACATTTCTGGTACCGGTTATGTGTTAAAAAGATTGCAAATTTGTTTCCTATGAATCTTGTGATGAAGATTTCTCTGTAATGATAAAAGTTCCAACGAGGCACAATAAATAGTTCTATATTGTTCTAATAATTAATCTCGTGTAGTATGGAAATTTACTCAGATCTTTTATTAGGGATGTACAATTTTACTAGCAGGGAAAGTCCTGGAATTTGAAAGCAGTGGGCCATTTGAGCAATTTTTAGTCAATGTCAAAATTAAGAGGACCCATTCTATGTAAAATTGAGGGGTTAATTTCAGTTTTGAAGGATCAATGGCCCCATGGCCCCCTCCAGGAGTATCCCTGCACTAGCCCAACATCCAGGGTTAGTAAATATGTCAACGCTTGTGAAATTTTCAATATTTACTATTAAACTATAGGTTAACATTGGCAAGTAGAACTTTTCCAAACCTGCCTATGGGCTTGTAATTTAAATTAGAAGTTGTACATGCTTGTTTATATCATTAATCACGAAAATCTTCATCACATAATAATACAGTAAAAATAAAAAACACAACAGGAGAAAGGCTACTGTTAAGAATGTATGCTACCTTCCTATGACATGTATCTTCTTTTGAAAAAAAGTTCTGTGTTAAAAATTCTGGAAAAATTCTTTTAATTTTTAGACTGAATTAATTAATAATCGATGAAACTTTTCACAGGTACATTTGATCAAACTCTTGATTTATCAGAAAACACAAATTTTATCATTTAAAGGAGATAACTTGAACACAAGTAAGACGTAAACATTAATTATTCTCTTTTCAGAATCCAGGATCTCCAGAGGGAATTCTGTTAGAGGACCTAAAGCGCATTGGCTCAAGTAAGCTTAACTGACGCCATACTATAATTATAATATTTGGCTGTGAAGTTTAGAGTGTTTAACTCCCACCATGCTGCTAGGCCTGGGTTTGACTGAAGGCATTGAGAGTAACTTGTGTCAACCCTTTCAATAAAAAATAATGGTATTGTTTATACAGGCAGCCCTTGGTTATGGTATTGTTGATGTGCCTTAGTCAAATGGTTTATGTTTTGTTTTTTGAAATAAAATACAATAGTGAGTAGTGAGAGATTGCTTTGGTAAAATGCCACTTTTTCATTTTCTGTAAAATTCTATAAAATAAATGTGCATATGCATGGCTCACTTAACCTTTTAGAGATATTTCTGTCTGACAGACCAAAATGTATCCCAGTGACAGATGTTCTAATACATACACAATGTACAGGATAAAAGTTTATGGATAAAGTTTTACAAATACAGTACATCAAAGCATGATAGGAATTTTGTAACAATTTTACTTCCAGCTTTGAAGACTGTGTTGAGCAAGAAATGTCAAGACTTCCCGGTGGATATCACAGTGGCACAGATACGCACACAGTCTCTCAACAACGTCCAGTAAGAGGCCTATTACAGAAGTATATACGGGGGAGGGGGGTAGGGGGAGGGAGATGTCAAGACTTCCCGGTGGATATCACAGTGGTACAGATACGCACACAGTCTCTCAACAATGTCCAGTAAGAGGCCTATTACAGAAGTTTATACGGGGGAGTGGGGAAGGGGGAGGGGGTAGGGAGATGTCAAGACTCCCCGGTGGATATCACAGTGGCACAGATACGCACACAGTCTCTCAACAATGTCCAGTAAGAGGCCTATTACAGAAGTATATACGGGGTAGGGGGGTAGGGGGAGGGAGATGTCAAGACTTTCCGGTGGATATCACAGTGGCACAGATATGCACACAGTCTCTCAACAATGTCCAGTAAGAGGCCTATTACAGAAGTATATACGGGGTAGGGGGGTAGGGGGAGGGAGATGTCAAGACTTCTCGGTGGATATCACAGTGGTACAGATACGCACACGGTCTCTCAACAATGTCCAGTAAGAGGCCTATTACAGAAGTTTATACGGGGGAGTGGGGAAGGGGGAGGGGGTAGGGAGATGTCAAGACTTTCCGGTGGATATCACAGTGGCACAGATATGCACACAGTCTCTCAACAATGTCCAGTAAGAGGCCTATTACAGAAGTATATACGGGGGAAGGGGGAGGGGGTAGGGAGATGTCAAGACTCCCCGGTGGATATCACAGTGGCACAGATACGCACACAGTCTCTCAACAACGTCCAGTAAGAGGCCTATTACAGAAGTATATACAGGGGAGGGGGGTAGGGGGAGGGAGATGTCAAGACTTCCCAGTGGATATCACAGTGGCACAGATACGCACACAGTCTCTCAACAATGTCCAGTAAGAGGCCTATTACAGAAGTATATACAGGGGAGGGGGGTAGGGGGAGGGAGATGTCAAGACTTCCCAGTGGATATCACAGTGGCACAGATACGCACACAGTCTCTCAACAATGTCCAGTAAGAGGCCTATTACAGAAGTATATACGGGGGAAGGGGGAGGGGGTAGGGAGATGCCCTATTGTAATCCCTCCACCCAAAATTGTTTGAGGCCTTCTATACAAAGGTCATTTATATTTTAAACCTTTTCAATCATGCATCAAAATAATGGGGTCAAGGATTGTTTCTTGAATTTTTCTATCAGCTTATCAATCTCAATGAAAACATGAATGAATGTGTGGATTGGGAGTTTTGGGATTATAAATTCTACACACGGTTTGATCTGATGAGAAAGTTATGAACACAGTCATGAGCCAGGGTGAGATTTGTGCCAATCTTGCTCTTTTAAGATAAATGTGACAATGTGTTTTAAAAATTGTAACAATTAGTGTGTCATGAATACAAACAACTTCTTCTTAAGAACCATAAAGCTTAGGGTAATATTCCTTGGACTGTAGCTTGCTGACCGATGGTGCTATCAACTCTGTCCAAATTCATTTCCGGTGCTTTAACCCATATTCAAGGTTACAAAGGTCATATGTGTAACTCTTCAAATGATGCCTAATGAAGTGTTAGGCCTAGAGTCATTTAATACATTTAGCAGGTTACATGCTGGGGTCAAAGGTTATAAGGTACATGTTCGAATAAGATATTTCAATGTCACATTTACCTCACAAACTCAAATATTATATCATTAATTTAGCGTACCCCTTCTCTGTTGTTGGTATAATGTAATAGATATACTGAGTTAACGTACCCCTTCTCTGTTGTTGGTATAATGTAATAGATATACTGAGTTAACATACCCCTTCTCTGTTGTTGGTATAATGTAATAGATATACTGAGTTAACGTACCCCTTCTCTGTTGTTGGTATAATGTAATAGATATACTGAGTTAACATACCCCTTCTCTGTTGTTGGTATAATGTAATAGATATACTGAGTTAACGTACCCCTTCTCTGTTGTTGGTATAATGTAATAGATATACTGAGTTAACATACCCCTTCTCTGTTGTTGGTATAATGTAATAGATATACTGAGTTAACGTACCCCTTCTCTGTTGTTGGTATAATGTAATAGATATACTGAGTTAACATACCCCTTCTCTGTTGTTGGTATAATGTAATAGATATACTGAGTTAACGTACCCCTTCTCTGTTGTTGGTATAATGTAATAGATATACTGAGTTAACATACCCCTTCTCTGTTGTTGGTATAATGTAATAGATATACTGAGTTAACGTACCCCTTCTCTGTTGTTGGTATAATGTAATAGATATACTGAGTTAACATACCCCTTCTCTGTTGTTGGTATAATGTAATAGATATACTGAGTTAACGTACCCCTTCTCTGTTGTTGGTATAATGTAATAGATATACTGAGTTAACATACCCCTTCTCTGTTGTTGGTATAATGTAATAGATATACTGAGTTAACGTACCCCTTCTCTGTTGTTGGTATAATGTAATAGATATACTGAGTTAACATACCCCTTCTCTGTTGTTGGTATAATGTAATAGATATACTGAGTTAACGTACCCCTTCTCTGTTGTTGGTATAATGTAATAGATATACTGAGTTAACATACCCCTTCTCTGTTGTTGGTATAATGTAATAGATATACTGAGTTAACGTACCCCTTCTCTGTTGTTGGTATAATGTAATAGATATACTGAGTTAACATACCCCTTCTCTGTTGTTGGTATAATGTAATAGATATACTGAGTTAACGTACCCCTTCTCTGTTGTTGGTATAATGTAATAGATATACTGAGTTAACATACCCCTTCTCTGTTGTTGGTATAATGTAATAGATATACTGAGTTAACGTACCCCTTCTCTGTTGTTGGTATAATGTAATAGATATACTGAGTTAACATACCCCTTCTCTGTTGTTGGTATAATGTAATAGATATACTGAGTTAACGTACCCCTTCTCTGTTGTTGGTATAATGTAATAGATATACTGAGTTAACATACCCCTTCTCTGTTGTTGGTATAATGTAATAGATATACTGAGTTAACGTACCCCTTCTCTGTTGTTGGTATAATGTAATAGATATACTGAGTTAACATACCCCTTCTCTGTTGTTGGTATAATGTAATAGATATACTGAGTTAACGTACCCCTTCTCTGTTGTTGGTATAATGTAATAGATATACTGAGTTAACATACCCCTTCTCTGTTGTTGGTATAATGTAATAGATATACTGAGTTAACGTACCCCTTCTCTGTTGTTGGTATAATGTAATAGATATACTGAGTTAACATACCCCTTCTCTGTTGTTGGTATAATGTAATAGATATACTGAGTTAACATACCCCTTCTCTGTTGTTGGTATAATGTAATAGATATACTGAGTTAACGTACCCCTTCTCTGTTGATAGGTTTCCACAGTCTACAGATCTTGATGAGGACAAACAAGAAGGCAGAGGTATATGTAATATGTTAAATGTATTCACCTTAATAACTGCGTCAGGGCACTTGAAAAAATTGCTGAAAGGTTGCTTATTAAGACGCAACAAAACATAAGCTTTAACATTTTCGGTGGGTAAAGGTTGCTTCTATACATAGAACATAGAATTAAGTTTTAGATCTAAAGTAAACATTACAGTGCATTACTGTATTTTAACTGACTTTACCGTAAGTGTATAGTGCTATAATTTGTTAATGGCGCCGCCCAGGATAGAGATTGTTTGGGAAAGGTGGTGTTAATATCAATTCAATAAGTGCCGAAAAAATAGGAAGGGCACTTTTGAGGGAAAGGCGTTAATTACGTGAATACGGTACATTAAAAACAGCTAACTTAAAATATGTAAAATAAGCAAATTTGATTTGAATTGATTCCTTTCTCCAAACATGGATACATCTTGTGTATAAAATTATTTTTTGCAGTCGGTGGTAATTTGTCAACAACTGAACATTTCAGTTACTTTGCAGCCAAACATAATTTACTTCCTGCTTATAAAATTGTGTAGCCATTATTAACTCCAGTGGTAACTCACAACCCATGTATAAACTCGTTGTATTTTCCAGCCAATGGTAACCTCCTTCCCAAACCTTTACCTGTGGAGGGCATGCCCATGCTGACCCTTCGTATAGAGAAGATCTGTCTAAAAGATGCCCGCCAGTTCATCGATCCCTTCATCACTGTGTCGGTAAAAGGTATAGTATATTGTACAATCAAACCTACCGTACGTAGAGGGGACCTTGATAATCCAGAATGTTTCATCATTACGAAAAGTTTGTAAAGGCCCTGATGTTTGTAGTAATTCAAGCTGACAAGATGAAATACATACCCTATATTCCCTGTCAGATATTTGCCTTTCACTGGTAAAACCCATATTCATGCAGTGTTAATTTCACTCATCACATGTAATTGCTATATCTGGTGCGCTGTGTATTATTAGTATTTGCTTTCAAGATGAATTGGACCTTATAACTGAAAGCAATATAAGTGAAAGTTGAACTGCAGTGTAAAATAATTCTGGAGTACATTGTAGAACTTTATATTTGCAGTCATAACCACGTGGGTCTTTCTTGCTGCAGATCAGCTGTGTTTTGCATCTTTTAATTTGCAATTATCAAAAATACTTTCAGCAACTGCACACAAATCCACATTTGTAAATATCCACTAAAAGATGAAAAGCTATATGTACATAACCATAGTTACTGTAATATGATATCGGGGCACCTCTAATCTACAGACTCTCTGGGAAGCAACCTGATGTCCCCACAGGAAACCCCAGTGGCCACGCGGAAAGAGAGCCAGCAGATCATCTTTAACATGGACGTGTACATACAGAAATGGATTGACAGTCTTCCCACAGGTCTTGTCACATGTTACTACTGCTATCATACATACTTTACTGATGCTATCCTGTTTCTCCAGTTAAAGGCCTCCTCATTGTCACATGTTACTACTGCTATCAGACATACATTACTGATGCTATCCTGTTTCTCCAGTTTAAGGCCTCCTCCTTGAAATTAACTTTCTGGACATATTAGCTTCATCTGCCTGGTTAGATAGATCATAGCTTTTTCATTCATGACCAAACTACTCTTCCATAGGTTTGCATGGGTCTGTAGAAGATATCTTGGGGTCAGATTGAAATCTGAGATGACCTCTACTGACGACTGTCCACAGTCAGTTTGGATCCAGATTTGTCCTACTATTCCTTTTGGTTTCATTTGAAATAACAAGAAGTTTTCACCCTGTAGTATGAAACAGATATGCCCCATGTTCCTTACAGTCAGATAGTGTTGTCCCCACTCCTTCCCTGTAAATCTCATTAATACTCTATCCTACTTTTTTTGCAGGCTTTGCCATATTTTTTGAGTTCAAGCACTACAAGCCTAAGAAAGCTACGACCAGTGTCAAGTGTTGGGCGTGTATGGAAAAAGATGAGATCAAAGAGGGAAACGTGGCCCTGGAACTGTACGTAACTCTTAATACCTTAAAACGTGGTCCTGGAACTGTACGCAACTCTTAATACCTTAAAACGTGGCCCTCAAACTGTACGTAACTCTTAATACCTTAAAACGTGGTCCTGGAACTGTACGTAACTCTTAATACCTTAAAACGTGGCCCTGGAATTGTACGCAACTCTTAAAACCTTAAAACGTCAAACCTTTAACATAGTAACTTCCATACACATAAACTACTTATCATTGTTAAGTTGTAATGTCCAACACTTAAGTTAAACGTTTACCAATATAAAACATTGTAACTAAGAGCAGTTAACAATAACTGCAGCAGACATTTTCCAGTACAACGTAAGTCATCATAGGACTTAAACTAAGTTGTCAATGTCATCTTGTCAAAAGTATCAAATTCAAGGTTATGCATTGAACCAATGTTTTTTTAGAAGGCTTTTCTTTTGCTATGAAAAGCAGTTTCTCCACAACAGGTTAATTTTTCATTCATGGCCAAAGATATAAAACACCTAAATATAATTATATTATTAAACACTCAACTCAAACCAGTGACAACTGCACTTTGTGTATTTGCTTTCTTGACCTGGACCTTTGACCTGTAGCCTTTTCAGCTTTCTTCTCCCTTATGGTGTTGTAAATAACTGAAGTAGATTCTAGAAGGAAATTGATGTAACTAATTTTAACCCATTTATAATTTGATCTTTCCTTTAACACATGGAGTGTGTGTATTTTACTCCATTTCGTTTATTTTTCAGATACAAGAAGCCGACAGATTACAAGAGAAAAAACATCCGCCTGCTGACAGTAAAACCGCTGTTTCTACATATCAAGCTACTGTTTAATGTGTAAAACGTAACATATCTAACAAAAAACTGATCAGTCAATTATTGTTTAGTTAATAGTTCACATGGATAGTTCAATGTTTCCAAGAATTGTCAAATAGAAGAGGTACCTTATAAGCTTTATTGATTATTTTAACGAAAGGAAACACTTTTTAATGCATCATTACTACATTGAAACCTGTTTAATCAGAAGTTTGAGTATTCCACATACTGTCTTATCCAACATAATGCTGTAATACAATTTCTTGTGAAATCATTCTGTCTGTACTTACTAAAAGTTTTGGGTCAAAGGGGTGTCAGATTAGACAGGTTAATATGACCAGTATGTGGTGTCTTACAGGGTATTGGACTAGACAGGTTAATCTTATCAATATGTTGTTTCCCATATAGTGTCAGATTAGACAGTTTGATATTATAAAACCATGATATCCCACTGATACAGATTAGACAGGTTAGTATAACTAATATGTGCCCCACAAGATGTCAGATTAGACAGGTTAATCTGACCAATATGATGTTTCCCACAAGATGTCGGATAAGACAGGTAAATCTGACCAACATGTTGTGTCCCACAGGGTGTCAGATTAAACAGGGTAATCTGATCAATATTTTGTATCCAAAATGGTTTCCGATTAGACAGGTAAATCTGACAAATATGTTTTAGTTCCACAGAATGTCAGATTAAAATAGTTTCAGTATATATTTTTTAATGGGAAATTACACAGATAAACAGTTGATAGAGAACTTACTTTTAGAAAATGTATAGAAAAGTTTGCCTCGTTTAGTGTTGAGTATGGTAAATGTTTTATTCAAATAGTCATGCAATGTTTTTAAAACCTCTGTTCCTGCAAATCACTCATGGTCGTCCCACCTGACATATTTATCTCCCTTTATATACCCTGGTATGCCTTGCGCCCCTTCCCCCCAATCCTCTCACCCCTAGGTAACTTGAGTAGACTCTACCATACATTCATCTGGATGAATTCATAATGGTCTACAGTGATGAAAGGGTTAACAGCTAAAATAACAAGTCTGCAAAATAACCCCTGTATACAGTATTTTTAAATGTTTTGAATTTTTTGTTGAATTCTAAAAACATGGCTGGGGTTTGGGAGAAGAAGGGGAGGTTGACATTTCTGTTTATATGAAGCTGTTATGACATCCATACGTAAGACTGATATTGTTGTAATTTCCCTCACGGCCAGTCCTCAACTGTCTGCAGGGACAGAGGATTACTGTAAAATGTTGCATTTTTATCCCCATTTTATTTTCACTCTTAAATGAGTGAATCAATTTGAGATGGTGAACGGTTTGACGAAAAATCTCACTGGTAAAGTTGACAACAGAAACAAAAAAATAGAAAAAAATGTGGCAGGTTCAGCTACCAATTGAAAATATTATTAAAAATTGGATGTGTAAAGACGAAAGCAAAACTTTGATGAGATGAAAATGATACATTTTACAGTAATACTGACATTGTTTTATTGCCAAAAGTGTTTATACTGCCATGTAGTTTGCGAATTTTTTTAAAATTTGTTTTATGTTGGTCTAGTGTCCATTATGTTATGAGCAAGATGAGATCTCTGTTTCAAAGTTTAAATGTTTATTATTGTTGCAGATTTTCCTGTTTTTTATTTGGTTGTTCATTCGTTTTTGAAACACGTCATGATGGCATCTCTGTTTGTACTATTTTTAAGGTTGTAATCATTATCATAATTTTGTCACTCTGCAAATAAATGTTTGGTATGTATGCATTGCAAGAATTCTAGAAAAACAATTTCTGCAGGAATTTTCTATTGTTTCCTCAAGTACTAGTAGACTTGCTCAAGTTCAGGTTCAGATATTTTTAGTCGCTGATTGAAACAAGCACCTGTGGAAAAAGGATATAGGGAAAGTGCATTCCATGTAGAACAAATGTATTTGATATTGCTTCTCCCTACATATACAACTTAGTATTTCTCATCAAACATCAAATGATAACACAACGTAGATCTCATTTTTATAAGACTTCTGTTTTTATCAATCAATCCCTATACCATCCTCGATTCTCAGGGGTTACGCTCACTTACTCTCTCTGCCCCCCTAGAATATGCCATCGCTGAATTGAAGGCTCGGTGGGAAGACTAGTTTGATCCATTTATGTACATCAAAATAATTTTTCGTCTTGTAACAGTAAAATTGACTGTCTCTGAAGTTGGATGTCACTCCTCTGTAATCTTCAAAGAACAGGTATCGGTATAAAGATTGGTCAGGTAAATTTATTTGAGACCAATCAAATAGCTAATTGCATGCCTTCAATTTTGCTACGACATATTCCTGGAGTGCAGAGAGACAAAATGAGTGTAACCCCTGGATCTTCGAGGATGTCCTTTTACATAAAAGTATAAAAAGGTGTATACATTTTGTAAAAGTATGAACATGTGTATTTTGAATTATTTTCTTCTTTTTCAAATGAATAAATCAGATCTTTTGAGATGTTTGTATAACTTATACAAAATTTTATTCACCAGATATATATTATAATATATACATGCTGATACAATTATTTAACAAAGATCTTGTGATACAATCTAGATGTGATCCTTACATTTGACCTAGGTGTTGGAAATTATTGTTTCTTGCTGTTTTTTTGTAAATGTTAGGTATTCAGCTTATTAAGAATATAGCAGGAATAAAAACAAAATATCTCAAAAAATTGGATCCGGGCATAGAAAATCAGTCCCTTAGTCTCTCTGAAAACGTCTCACTCTGCTGGGTTTTTATGTTTTTATTTTGTGTAATTCGTAATTTTATATACTTTTATACTTTAGTACTTTTTTACTATATATATATCTACACAAATAATTGGCCATGGCCAAACAATCAGTCCTGTGGAGATGTTTTTCGATTGCAGGTATTGCAGTACTCTGTGTGATTATTGGTGGTTTTTGAAGACACACAGCTGTTGTTTACGTGGGTTTTACTTTTGTAATTGTATATACTCTTTTATTGTTGGTTGCCTTGTCGATCATTCTGTCCCATGAATACACAGCTGATCTTGGCTGGTAAATTTTACTCTATAAGAGATATGTTGAGCAGCTTTTAATACTGTTGTGCCTTTTCAAATATTGTTCGACACTGCTTCTTTGGCGGATGTGTTATCCTTTTAAAATCAAAAACCCTCCAGTGCCTTTTATTTCTAAATTTATACACTATAATACCATATTACAAAAGTACTATTATACATGAGAACTACTTTATTTGTGTGAGAATTAATACCCTAACACTAAAAATATTCTGTTTTCTTGATTTTCAATAGGATGTTCAAAGATTATTTCATTTGTAATAGTATTTATGTAAATATAAAACAGATTGAGAATTTTCATTTTTCGGTATGTGTATACAATGTGAAAATGTCCATTTTATGTTGAGTTTAAGCAAACAGATGATAATGATTTTAATTTACACAAGGTGGAAAATTTATTAGAGGGAGGTAATAAGATCATCTCCCACTATTGATAAGATACTTCACGTTAAAACATCCTCAATATCCAGGGGTTACCCTCACTTACGCTGTCTGCACCCCTGGAATATGTCATAGCGAAATCGAAGGCTCAGTATGCACTACCTTGTGGATGAGACGAGAATACTAGTTCGGTCCTTTGATGTACATCAAAAGAATCTCGCGGTCGTGTAACGGTAAAACTTATTGGCTTTGAAGTCGGTTGTTGTTCTTCTGTTATCTTCAAGGACAAATATCAGTCTAGTGATTGGTCGATTTGTTTTACCTGACACCAATCAAATAGCTAGACTTGTGCCTTCAATTTCGCTATGACATATTCCAGAGGTGGAGAGAGCGAAAGTGAGCGTGACCCCTGGATATCGACAATGATGTTAACATTGCTCAATTATATCTCAAATATATCTGCAACTTGTGTATTAAAACGATATTTGTCTTTTGTGAAACTGCTGAGAACTCTAACCTGATGTCACTTATATAAATATATCATGTTAAGTCACTGTGTATAAGGTATATGTAAACAAATTATATATAATATAATATACATGTAGTATGGTATTTCGGTTATGTAACAGTAACACACTCACCAATACGTTTAATAATTATTGTTGATTTTCCTATCATTTTCTTGATCCCCCGATACATCCTTCATAAGGCTAAAAAGATGTTTCTTCTGTCCCAGATCAAAGATAATCCAACTTTACAGATTTGAAACATTTTTTTTATTTTTGTTAGTCCCTTCTTTATACCTATGTACATTCCAGTCTCACCATGTTAGTATAATCACATGTTGTACTTGTCCCTTAGGAAGACATGATGCTCAATCATTCATAACCTGGCCCTATATCACAAACAAAATTAGAATTTCATTTCATCAGAGTTGTTTCATGCAGTGGTACTTTTATTTTTATGATGTTAACATTCTTATATTTTTTTCATGTTCACTATAACTGTCTTACATAAAAAAAAAATGTTTAAGAATTATTCCCATAGTTAAAGTAAATAAAAAGTAAATTTATGATAAGTACTATTTTAGACTAAAAATAAACTCTGAATTTAAAAAGAAAATGGCATTATGCATTCAAAATATTAACCATTGAGTTATGTTTTAATATCACTGGATGAAGATAATGTTTTAAGATTTGAATTTAGAGGAAAATGTAATTCCCAAGAAAAAAATAGTTTCATGGAAATTAATGTCTAAATCTAATGCTTGTTTGTGATGTAGTGTGGCCTGTTCTTTCACAACCAAATGTATTGGCTTGTACCATCATAATACATGTACTATGTTATGTATACCAAGGGGTGCATACTAATATTGTCTACACACAGGTACTGTTAATGCTCTGGTCCAAAATCATAGACCAATCTTTTAACTACAGTAAACAATCTCAATGTGTGACTTACATTAAAAGATTACCAAGTTAGCTTTATGATAAGAAAAGTCTTATATTTTAAGTTACAAACATTGAAATTTGTCAAAATAATTTTTCTTCAAATTTTTGAATATAGAAATTCGTCAAATTATTATTTTTTTTAGCATTTTTTACTTTAATGAAGATAAGCATGGTATAGTTAAGAAGGTATAAAACATTTTCTTTTAATTTGTTAATGTAAAAGAAATCCATTTTTTTTTTTAAAACTATTCAGTTTCAAAAGAAACCTCATTATCTTATCCTATGTGAGCGTTGGATTATTTGATATGTTTTTAAATGTTACATATAGGTAATGTCATCAGATCTTCCGTGATTATGGACCAGGTTTATACACCGCTGTTATTTTACATAATATTATGTCAGTATTGTATAATATATAAACCCACTAAAAAATAAATAGGTGTATCGTTGAAAGTTTTCATTTTTTTACACCTGTAAACATTGACATTTTGTGTATCTTCGAAATCCAAGAATTCTGCTCTTGTTACAACTATATTCTCTGTACCCCTAGAATTTGTCATGACAAAATCACAGGCACTTCAGGAGACACCTTGCTGATGATACAAATAGACAGGTTTGATGCCCTTGATGAAGATCTAAGGAATTACGAGGCAGAATAATGATAAAGTCATTAGGCTTTGAAGTGTAGCTCCTGTGTACATTCAATAATAATAATACGGTAACTAATAATTCGAGGTTCTTATATACCGCTTTATCACAACCTAGTTTGTAGGTCGTCTCAAAGCGGTTCACAAATTATTATCCGTGGTTATAGGGCCTTTGCAACCAGCCAATATATTTCTCAACTCCCTGGGGAGCATACAGCCGGTGCTGCCATTTCGGCGCTTACAGCTAGCTTTCATCAATTCTAGCACTACCCAGTCACGTACTCATTTACAGCTGAGTATAGACTTGAACAAGCAGAGTAAAGTACAAGATCATGGAGTTAGTAATATGATATATAGAGCGTCTGCAGAGATAAGATCTACCAACCTTAAAGCATCGTCGGATGCAATGATACCTAACTTTTATGATCCTATAGTGACTGAAAGCATGTTTAAGTGAGATATTAGTAGTAGAACAAGAGGGCATTCTTACCCTTCGGTCACAAGCCCGGCTTCCTACCACTAGACTACCGTGCCTCCTCATTCAAAGAACAGGTATCAGCCTAGCTATTTTATACCTGAAACCAATCCAATAGCTAACTGCAAGCCTTCCATTTTCTCATGGCGTATTCTAGGAGAGCAGAGAAGATACGTTAACGGAACCCATATTTTTCGAAGGTGATTTTTGTGAAAATCTGCGTTATTTCCATTACTGAACAGTTGGCGGTTGGGGACTTGGGGGAATTATTAAATGTGATATGAAAAAGGAGTCTTTATCAACCCAACAACCAAAGACTTTGGACAAAGACGTCAACCTCTGAAACCTTCCTTGAGGGAGATCTCGTGAAACGCTACCCAAACTGCTTTGCTAAATTTTTCTTTTCCTTTCTATGTATGTAAATAACTCCAAAGTATTAATGTGATTGAGACTCACCTGTCATGACTATTACACCCCCCTGCTGTACCTAGGAGATCATTTGACCACAGGGTGTAGATTTTGAGTATGTATGAGTTTGGACTTTAATAAGGGATATTGTTAAAATTTTGGTCAACATGAGGGAGTCTTCCTCCTAATGAGGGAGGGATGACAGCTATGTTTGGATGAAATGTGTTTAATATGCATATGTTGAAGAAATTGTATTGTTGCTATCATGACTTGGCATTTCGCTGTGTAATAATTCCAGATTTGGTTACTCTGTATAAGAAAGTTGGTGACTGACAGAATTCCCTGGGTTTGGCAGAAGACATCATGACGTTTACCACAAAGTGCATTCACTTTTTGTTGCTATGGGGGGAAGGTGGTTGATGCTATCCCTTTCGTTTCGGTGTGTCGTCGGTATTGTAATTTGTATCTACTTTGACATGACGTTTTGTCCTTGTGTGTCGAAGTTCATGGCTTGAATACATAAAAAAAATATCCGTGTTAAAACACACCAACTGCAGACGAACAACACACAAAATGGAGACGAAAAGCACACCAACTGCAGACGGAAACCACAAACTGGAGACGAAAAACACACCAACTGCAGTCGAACAACACACCAACTGGAGACGAACAACACACAAATTTCAGACTGCAAACGAACAACAAACCAACTGCAGACAAACAACACACAAACTGGAGACGAACAACACACACTGAAGACGAACAACACAAACTGCAGACAAACAACACACAAACTGGAGACACACCAACTGGAGACGAACAACACACACTGAAGACGAACAACAAACCAACTGGAGACGAACAACACAATAACTGCAGACGAAAAACACACCCACTGCAGATGACAAACACACCAACTGCAGACGAACAAAACACCAACTGAAGACGAACAACACACCAATTGCAGACGAACCTGGATATGCAGAAGTCAGCGTTTCTGCATAATTCAACTGCCTAATGAAGACGCGATGTAACTTCGTTTGGCAATCCATTGCTCCAGCTACAATTTCACATATACGTCCACTTGTATAAAACATTTGATCGCTGCGGGAAAAGTATGTGTTAAGCTGAAAACAGCCGATTTAGATACATAAAATTCACCATAACGCTCACCATTGAATATGTTCGTTGTCAACCGCGTTCATACTACCATATACGCCTTCAAAATGAAGGTCAATCCTATACTATGAACAAATTCAATGAGTTTTTCAATTCTTTCTTTCTAGACAAAACAGCGAAAATAATCTGAAGAGATCTTCATTACGCTAGGCTAATATTAGTTTACTGAAGATCGAGGTTAAGAATAGTTGCAGCATTCTCGCGTGTGGAGATTCTCGCGTTGTAACCTTAAACTGATCGCGGTGTGGATATTTTTGCTTAGGCAATGGATATGTTCAAGTGTGGACATTTTCAAGGTAATTTAGCCGACGCGAAACATGCGAGTATTTATACACTGTAAAAATTCTTTTTTTTTCCCCCCCCCCCCCCCCCCAATTCCTACTGCTGTCATTATTTTGCAACGGGTTCTAAGTCAAGCGCCTGAGATAGGATTAACGAGTTTCCTGAATATTATGTAGTTCATTTTAAGGATGTACACCTGTGAGAAGTCAAACATTTCCTGTATTTGTTTTTTCTTATATTGATTTTTGGAAAAAGGAGTAAATGTGTTCGTTTTTGTGCTATGATTGGTCAAAGATATCAATCTGACACAATATGTGAATTTAGGTGATTTTTTAGTTTTAACCATTTGCAGAACAAATTCATACAAATTCATACAAGTGTGTTATCAGATATGTATGAATGTTCGTAGAATTGATAAAATATTATATTCTTTTAAATTATGTGAGTAAACTTTCTTAATCTTGATATTTTAACTCTGAAATGCGATTTAAGTTACCCCTACCCCTTATTATTAAAAAATTACTCATTTTACACCATTTTTTGCAGATTAAACGCTTGATATAAAAAGTTTTGCTATTAAACTATTTTTGAATATTTAACGAATCAAACGAAAATGTGTTTCTCTTTCTAAAACAGCCAACAATGGGGGATCCGTGTGCTGCTTTTTTGTCCCATTATTATTCGTGTTATTTTTCACCTTTTTCGGGGTCCAACATCAAAAATACTTCAGTTACACTAAATATGTAAAAGAAAATACCAATAATGTTTAATTTTCCACTTTGTTGCATATTAATTTTATCATATTGAACATTATAAAGTTGGCGACACAATGCAATTCAAGTGATCAATCCAGTGTCAAAAAAGGTGAAATTTTGGTCCTTTGTGAAGCGCAAGAAATACACATTAATACACATTTTCAAAATGGCCGCGAATTGGTCATTTGTTTTAATTCTTATAAAATAAGTTCTGCAAAAAACAGGCATCTAGTTTGCTATTAAACTTGATCATAATTTGTTAAATAAAAACGAGTCTTAACGTGATTTAAACCTCAGAAGAGTACATCCTTAAGGTAATGTAAACGACATTGGAATTGAAACATTATGGACGCTTAAGGAAAGAAGTAGTGGAAGAAAAGAAGCAATATTCTACATACAAATATATAACAGAGATAAAGAGGAATGAGTCAATTAATATTCTACATACAAATATATAACAGAGATAAAGAGGAATGAGTCAATTAATATTCTACATACAAATATATAACAGAGATAAAACATGTCTTTTGATTTATAGAGATTTGGTTTCGTTCTATTTTCTGAGTCTCCTATGACATCATGTGATTGTGATTTATCTGGGTTTCTTTATCAAATAAAAACAAATTAATGACAAAAAAACACCAAGTATAGATTTGTGATGTCGTTTTGACCAGACGAAATACATTACTTTTATAAATGAAATAAGCATTTATCTGGTCCATTTAGAGCTTTATACTTAATATATAAATAGTATACACCCTTTAGCTTGCAGTCGGTTGAAAAACTGGAATGATAGTTAGCTTGTAACTATGTGATCAGTTTCTGTCTAGTGTTGAAGTGTTATGTTAACGTTAAATGATTGTATCCTAAAAGTGTCGAGTTGTCTAAAACACTCTCACTATTAATTATACATATATCGATATAAATAATACAATCTATTTGTATACAAACAAAGGCTGTCCTCTGACTATGTGAACACAATTTCAGAGGGATTCCCCTACACGGATAATGTCTATATTTAGGTTTACCGTCGTGAGTCATGATCAAACTAAACGTTGTAAGTTCCATGTCATCGGGTTTTAAAGGCCTGTATATAAACACGGCCAAATATTGTATCGCCTATAACACACACACACACACACAGAGGAAATAGAACGATAATCACACAACAGTTCTACAACATGGAAAACAAGTAAGTATTAAGTTTTGACAATAACGTTATTATATATATTATATCATGGCGATTATTTGTGTCAGGTTAACAGTGTAATAACTTAATGTTAAGAGACTTCTCAGTACAAGGAAAATATAGAAGATATTTATAAATGTTATCCCGCAGTTTTGAATACTAAAATACTTTGTATATATATATAAGTATATGATTACAGTAATATGATAATAATTGACCATTTACATTTTACTTATCGCGTTAAATTCGATTCTGCATTATACTTAACCATTTCACCCCTATGTTACTTTAGTAGACTCTACCATGCATTGATCTGGATGAGTCCATTATGGTCTACAGTGGTGAAAGGGTTAATGTACTGAATCAATAACAATATATTGATTGTATTTGTAATTAATTTATTGTAGTTAATGAATAATAAAATTAATAATCACATTGTCAATATTACTTATATCAATGGCAGGTGTCAAATAACACATAGGGATATATCCGCTTTATGTTTGAAAGAGAAAAACATGTGATATCATCGTCAACGTTATGTTCCAACGAACATTAGTCCTTTAGAGTCAGAGGGAAAAGTGCGAAAATAGGATATTAGGATATAACGTGTATTGTAAATACTATAAAATGAGTATAAGTATATAAGTAACACTGCAGTGATTCCCTGTCTAGTATACAGACGTTTTCTTAGCCAGCGGCACTTGTTTTAACTTATGTGAAATTAACGTAATGTTGCTGATGGTTTAGTTTTGATGATCAACGTATTTACCGGTAAAAATGTAAAGAATATGTCACATAAACAACAGAATCAACCAAACACAATCCACAATGTTTTTTTTCATTTCGTCCGGCTATGTTTTGATCGAATATTACTTTTTTCTTTTCTTTTGTAGCGATTATAGCTATCTATTCAAGTACCTGCTGATAGGGGACTCGGGTGTAGGGAAATCCAACCTGTTACTCCGGTTCGCGGTAAGTTGACGTCATCTTAATTCGGTCACAGTGTGATTGTTCGATTAAACAGGGAATCCCACATATGTTTATCTTACACATATGTTTATCTCACACATATGTTTATCTTTGCTGTCAGTAATAATTATTGAGGGGTTGCAATTGTAATGTTATAATGTATATAGCTAATATCATTGGTGACACCGAATATCATTTCATGACATTTTCTTCCTCCTTTTTTCAGGATGATGTATTTTCAGACACATACATCTACACTATTGGAGTAGACTTCGTAAGTTCAATTACTTTTGTCTTCGAATTCCTTTTTTTTTTATAATCTGGTTAGGGAGAAAAATAGTAATTTGTTCTACCAGACATATTCACCCGAGTATTAAATTGGTTGACTTACCTACATTAATTAAGCCTGTAGAAATAATCGAGTGTACAGCATTATATAGAGATGCATGAACATGTAGGGTTCTTATTGATATACAATGTCGTGAGAAAAGATGTAATTTGTATAATCTTTCAATAAAACAATTCAACGAAAGCCTCGATGACGATGAATGATATTTCAAACGATCACCATTGTAATTAGTAAAATATCGTTTCTACATTAATTTGTAAAGGTTGATCATTTCCTTTTGTAGAAAATCCGAACAGTGAGCATTGATAACAGCGCCGTACGATTACAAGTTGTAAGTTAATTTATTTACATAATTATTGTTTCCAATCTTTAAATATTCTATTAATTAACGTGTATTATGTATGTGTTACTAGTTGTCAGATCCCAGCTCCTTCTGCAAATAAATCGTAAGATAAACGCACTACTTGGTCGTATAAAATGTGACTAGTAGTTGTCACGTTCTTAAACTCTTACGATACATGTGACACACACCAGACACTCTCCTACACTTTCAGATACATTCCATACCACTGGCACCTGATTAATACCTTACCTAGTCAATATGAAAGCTATTAACTACCGGATTAATATTATACCTTGTCAACGAAACCGGGAAAATATCATAATACTTCTATTCTACCAGATACATAGCATTCCTGGTCTTTAAAACTCTACTGTGCTATTATCATTGCGATCGTTTTAGGGCAGATAAAGTAAAGGTCAACATTTCATTGCTAAATAACACTTATACCATATATTTCTCTCGAAAATGGCATTGTTTGATATATATTTACAGTGGGACACGGCGGGACAGGAGCGATTCAAAACCATTACGTCATCATTTTACCGCGGGTCGCACGGTATTATGCTTGTCTATGACGTCACTAACATAGTAAGCAGTCAAATGTTTTTATTTATAAGTTATCATTTGTTTATTTCAATAAGTTTGAAGGTAAACCATTGGATCACTACGTGCAATATTAGCGCTATATGTAGTATAATATAGAATTACCCTCCTTAGTAAAAAAAAATCGGGATATTTTAAACAATAATTTCATATCAATTAATCGACTTATTAAGGGAATTTTTAAAATTGTAAAATAATATCGCACGTTCAGGGAGGGTTTTGAACGATATCAAACTCCCGGGAATTCGTCCATCTCACTAAATAGACAGTATTTAATGTATTTAGTGAAAGGATATCTTTATAATAATCAACGCTCTATATGTATTGAATAGAAGTGTGCGAACCTAAAACACGTGTTATAATTTTTGAAATAGGAGTCCTTCCGACACGTGGAGTTGTGGCTTCAAGAGGTGGACAGATACGGAGGCAAGGATAACAATTTGATTCTCGTGGGGAACAAAATAGACATGACCAGTAAACGGGTGGTGACGTATGAAATGGGCAAGGTGAGTTATAAATAGAGTCGAACCTCGTTTATCTAGTGACCTTTAATCTGGTTTTCCCAATTTCCAGTCACTATTATTCCGCCGGTTGTTTTACTATCCAGTCACCAGTTGTTTTAATATCCAGTCACTATTATTCCGCCGGTTGTTTCAGTCACCAGTAACCTGATTGTTTTAATATCCAGTCACTATTATTCAGCCGGTTGTTTCAGTCACCAGTAACCTGATTGTTTTAATATCCAGCCACCATTTGTCTGAATGTATCACTTTACACCAACTTCTAAACTAGGTGTCTTATTATCCATCTTTAACTAATCCGGGTTTCCCACCATTTAGTCAGTACTAATCAGGTTGTTTTACTTTCGCCCAAAACCCATCCCCAATTGTCCAACGACCCAGTCACTACTAACCCGGTTGTAAAACAATCTAAGCCACTGTTTTACGTATCAAATTGGTCTTCCTCTATGCAAAATTGTCCTAATATCGCGGCTTTCTCACATTCCTGCCACTTTTACCGGTAATTGTTTTATGACTGCTTTTTCTCCCAAGTCGTCCACTATTCTAACTCCACTTTTTTTCTTTGATCAGGAATATGCTGAGAGACATGGTATTTCGTTCATGGAGACCAGTGCCAAAACTTCAACAAACGTGGAAAATCTATTTACAACTATGGCAGAGGAAATCAAAAGCAAACTCGATAGCGGTAAGCTAGATACCACACATAGAGGTGGGACAGTGAATGTCCGCAATAGTTCACCGATCAAACAATCACCCTGGGTATGTTGTGCGTGAGGAAATGGCGACATGAATATCAACGTAGCATACATCGTTGCTATGCAACCTAAACAGCTGTAATGTGACATGAGTTGAAAACATGGCAATATATATATATATATATTTGATATATATTGCAATAAGTCGTACCCCTGCCATATTAGAAAAAAATACGCATATGACTGACGTACGACTTCGTGCAAACCTCACTTAAAACTCAAAGTCACTTGGTGCAGAAAGTTGACTTGCTGCATGGAAAAACAAAATTTTCAAATAGGTGCTTCATTATGTATGTCGTATATGGTGTAAAGCTGGTATAAGTATGAGGATATCTTTTGTTGAGAACACATTTTGTGAAAATATGTTGTTAAGCTTTAGAGTTGTATGCAATGATAAGGAAAGTGTAAACTTTAAAGAATCAGTACACTATTATTGAAAATAGAAATCGACAAGTCTGTGAGGTAGATAGTATTCGCTAGATTCGACCGAAGATATTCCAACAGATACGATGTGAACCTTGGAAAGATCTAACCCAAGTGAATGAATATATATGCGATATAATGATTGTGAACAAGTAATGTATATATTTCAAATTCAGCAGAAAAGAATTAATTGAACAGAAATGAGGAATTAGATATATAGAGAATAATAAATGCCTTTTACCATATCACACCCAGTATCAACCCGAGAGTGCAATATCAGCCCAAGGTGCTTTATTCTGTTTATTACATACTTACTAATAAAAACTACTATCTTATGATCTATTTTTCTTTTGAAATATTGAAAAACGAAAAAGTTTAAAAAGTGGTTTGATACGGGTTTTGCAGGCTGATACGGGTTGTGATACGGCGGGGGCTGATACGGGTTTTGGTGTGTGATACGGCGAGGGTTGATATGGGTTAGAGCAATTGTGTCGTATCGCATATACAAAAAACCCGTATTAATGAGTAAGTATGGAATAAAAGAACATATATACCGTGGTAACATAAACATATAGATTGCTGCATAAAATGAACCGACATCAGTTTCAATCCAAGTTACTGATAATGACATTCAAACCTGCTGCTCTGTATAAAATATCACGAATATGGGTCTATGGCTAGCTTGACAAAGGGTAAAAGAGGCACGCAAGCCTGGTCGGCCGCGAGGTCTTCAGCTTTGGAGCATACTATGTCTCCAACCAAAGTCTTAAATAATCGTTTAAGTTTATAATGAAAGTATCGATGTCCCGTTATGAATGATATGTTTCTGTATGAAAGGAAATGATTAAAAGATAATTATATGTTTCTATATGAAAGGAAATGATTAAAAGAGAATTGGGAGAGAAAGTGGCTACTGTTTTTGACAGAAAGAGACATTGAGGTACGAATGATGTGTAGTGGTATTACGTACGTTACGTCATACTGAAAATTGACATCAGTCCCAATCTTAGGCACTGACAATGACAGTCGAAGGATGTTCCTTTAAATATAAATATTTAAGTGTATATGAAAGTTGAACCTTATACTCAGTGTGATTTTTACATCATCTTACGGTGAAGTTTACGTTGGAGATTATATACTATCATTTAACTGTTATTTCTTTATGTAATTCATCATACCTTGTGATAGACAAATGCATATTTCACCCTAATAGTTATCCCAATGTTTATATATGTTTTAGTACTTTATAAAAATGTCACCCACCGTTTTGATAATTAAGAATTAATTTTATAATTTTGTATTTATACAATTGTTGAATAAATTGTTTTACAAACCTATAATGTTTTCAAGTTATGAAAGATATTTTTATGACGATTTATGACGAAGAAAATAATATTCCTTCAACAATAGACATTTAACTTGGAAAACGATATCATGCATGTATGGATATTACTCACACAGTAGAAACAATTGGATACTCATGGACTGTGACAGTAACCTCAGCAAAGGACTAGGGGCGTTAAGGCTCATTTCCGGCCTCATCGGGGATTTATAATTAGTTGTTCTGTTCGTAATCTGGAATTAATGAAGAGGGCAAATATGTAATTTCAAATTCATTGGACAACTAGTTCAGGAGATATGGCATTACAAAGAGAGACATAAAACCACATTGAATAATAAAATGCGTGAATATTGCCTGGTGTGCGGTATTTGGTTGAAAATTGGCGATTTTGAAAGAAATTAACTAAACACTCTTCAATGAATGATAGCCTCCGCATTTAGCAAACAAATAATTATATATGACATTCTTAAAAATCGTCATACCAGTGTCATTCATAGAAAGGACATTTTGTTTGTCACATGCAGAGGATTTCATTTCTGCATGCTGAATGTTTAGTGTTATGAGAACTATTGTTTCTTATCATATTTGACGAATAAAATGCATATAACTAAATAATAGATATTAAACACCTAAACTGGACAAAAATGGCGATTACTCATTTGAAAACCTTGAATATCTTGGGTTTTTTATATACAAAAATAACGATATGTAGCGGCCAAGAACGACCATACCAATATCAGTGAAATAGATAAAATCCAATTTCTTTATCAATCACCACTCCTGGTTGATGTTTATCTGAAAGTCAAACTACTATATACCGGGAAAGTTTCGCCCGGTCAAACTTTCGCCCTTCGCTAGAGTAATCAGTATTTGGCCGGTGTTAATTGCGCCCCATGCATTACTATGCATTTTATATTGTTTATTAATATTCGCTGTAGCAATTGCGGTCGGCGGAGAAGGCGTTTATATAACTTCAGCGACAATTTTACGCTATATAATGTTGAAACAATCACGAAATAACGGAGTAAAAAGAGACCCATTGGACATGTATCGCATGACAAATATCTCCGCCAATCTTGGATTTCATACCAACTTGAAAACTAACTGAGTGAGTCTTTTAAAAATTTCCTAGTTTTCGCGATTGTGCCCAACCTCTGCCCTCAAAAGACCAAATTCTTTTATTTCATAAAAAATGTCTTTACACCGAGACGCTCCAAGCTAAATCAATATTTAACCCCATTTCAATTTGGTCTCTAAGAGAACTACACCCTTATTCATACAACATTGAAATCACTCTAAAAAGAGGACGTTCCCTGTCAAATAAGATCAAAAATAAGTACACATCTTTTAAATATTAACCCCCATTGCCAATGTATGGCCCACCATTACATGTATCTCCCCAGGTAGTCAAACATTATTTTATATATCATTAAATCTTTTGGCACAGCGATATCACGTGCCAAGTTAGCTAAGTATTCATTCATCTATGCCTGAGAATTAGTCTTTTAAAGATTTAATCCCATTTTCTTATACGGCCCGATCCTACCGTCCAAGAATTCAATAATCTCGATTTATGACTCAATTATCCATGGAAGCTTTATGGCAAATTAGGTCAAGATCTCTTCTTTAGTACTTGCAAAGTAGTCAGTTATAAAGACTTATCCATATTTTACTTTTCGGGTACTGTTTCTCTGCATTAAGGAGACACGCCTTTCATTTATACAATAATGAATTATGCAGGCCTACTGTTGTTCCACATCAAGTTTATTGTTCCACATCATGTTTATTATTCCACATCAAGTTTAATCATATAAAACATGCTATGAAAACTTAGTAAAACTTAATCTTTTGTCTATGTACACTACTTTCACTTCATTACCTTTTTCTGCGATTAACGCGGTGATTTCATTAAAAGGTTGTTAAATTTAATTTTCTGTGTAGTTAAGTAGCACACCTTCGGGTGATAGACTCTTCTCTTCCACCTGTCACTGAAATGCCCACGTTTTACCTGTGTAATATTTCTCTGTTACCCCTAGGGTATGAAATATTGAACGCATAAAGAAACCATACTATGACGTCACGGGAACAATCAGATATGACGTCCTAATCAGCTCTCGACAGGAGAGGTCATGTTGAAGTCAGGATAACAAACAGATAACAAATGCTGAAAACTATTGTTTTTAGACATTTATTTGGAGGACGGGAGAAAAATAATCATTCCCTACCTTACTTAAGAGTTTAATAGAGAAAGCGCCTACCCTCGGGGTGATTATTTGGTTGTCTGATCCTTGGCAGAGCCTCGGGTTATACAACCAAAAGATCACCCCTCGGGTTGGAGATTTCTCTGTCACGCCCTCAAGGTATGGGGACATTCTATTAGTCTCGCCTTCGGGTTCAGATGGGGGATTCCCCAGTCAAAACCATTGTACGACGTCATATCAACATTGCACTCATTGTCTCAAAAGTGAAATGGCGAATGTTGTTTTATTGTTTAAAGCACCTTTGAATAATGAATCTTTTCACCGAGAGAATTATGTGAAAATCATAAACTGTAAATAATGTGATTGTCGTGAATAGATGTAATATTTGTAATATTTGTTTCGTCTGGTGAAAGCATGTTTCAGTGGGATATTAGTAGTAGAACAAGAGGGCATTCTTACAAACTTTTTAAAAAACACTGTCAACTTGATATAAGTAAATCTTTCTTTACTTTCCGTGTTGTTGATATATGGAACAGTCTTCCACAGGATGTCATTGATTCATCTAATGTTATACAGTTTGAAATTGGTTTAGATGAGTACTGTAAACGTGAAAATATAACTTATATTTTTAGCTTTAAAAACTGTTCAATTGACACTTGAAGTATATTTAATGTAAATTTGTTGTATGTACTGAAATGGATAAAGAGGCTGTAGCCTGCGTCAATAATGTATCATATTAAAGTATCTTGCTCAACGATACAACAAAGTGTCGTGACGTACTCGAACCGACAACCCTTCGGTCACAAGCCCGGCGTCCTACCACTAGACTAGCGTGCCTCCTCATTCAAATAACAGGTATCAGCCTAGCTATTTTATACCTGAAACCAATCCAATAGCTAACTGCAAGCCTTCCATTTTCTCATGGCGTATTCCAGGAGAACAGAGAAGATTCGTTCACGGAACCCATATATTTCGAATGTGATTTTGTGAAAATCTGCGTTATTTCCATTATTGATAGTTGGCATTTGGGGA